GTGAGGGAGCCCAAAGAGGAGCTTTGCAGGTGCAAATTATCAGTTCCTACTTGCAAACTGTCGAAGTACCAAGTTTATTTCAATTGATTCCAGCTAGCTCGATACACAAGAGCACAACCTACATGTACGTAAAAACAATTTATAAACCTAGCAAAGCTTTTAACAACCAAGTTGATGAAACAAGGGTACCAACAATTTCATTCAAAGTCAGAAATTTGCAAGTTCTTTGGTCGATTCAATGATCTTGTCAACAAATACAATCTATCATTAAGAAAAAAACTGACTGACATTTTTCAATTGTTAAACCATTTACACATCAAATTGTCTATGGACTTTTTCGTTTGCCCGACCTCGACACGTAGCACACGGCGGGTGTAAACCGCTAATCGGAGATTCTTACACCTCCATTGCACCTGAGCCATCATCTGATGTTTTTAAAAGTCAGTATTTGATTTGCTCTCGATTGTAAATCAAACCTTGAGTTTATTTTACTGTTCGTTATCTCCTTATTTCAATTCTCCATTTTTCAACTTTAAATATAGTCCAATTCATTAAGGATTGACATAAACATGTTTAAAAAAACAAATTTTGCCGAATAAGTAGAAAATACTAGTATTCTTATGACCACTTCATCTCTTGATTGTATGTTCTTTATTCATGTTTGCTTATTGAACTATCTTTACTAACTTTCAAATCAAGGAATTATCGATTCAAAATGTTTTGTCAGTTATACTTTTAATTGAATGGCAAGGGCGACTGGTTTCTTCTAAGCATGTCCTTTTAAACAATAAAACCGTAAGTTATCACTAGAAATATGCATTAACTGTCTCTAACAGCATTGGCAGGAAAAGCCCAGCTCTACTGTAGTATCGCTGTCTCCTATCGCTTGGACAGACATCTTGTTTTGAAGCACAATGCCAGGAGATAGAGCGCGATTATTTTACGATAGAAGTTATGTTTCCAATTATAGAGCTCTCTCTCTTACGGCAAAGAGCCTTCACTTGAGCCACCTGACCGATCGTCCTTAATTTCTGGCAGGAATTGGAAATTAAATTCCCTGGAAAACACTCCTATGGCACATCAATAATTATTAGGAGCTTTGTAATGACATCTTCAGGAATCGCGGATATTGCCTTACAAGGAAATATCGATGTGATATTGTACTAGGACATCATAATTGACTTAAAATCAAAGGTGCCTATGAATTAACAACAAAATGGTGGTCCTTACAAGAACATGCACTATCATGGGGTGTTATTATCTCTACTGGAAAAGAGTGTCTAGTAACATTTTGAACATTTCAAAATTGTCAGAACTCAAACATGTCTAAAACAAATAATGAGAATGTATTGTTACAGAAACTTAACACATTAAGAATAATCAATCAATACTTAATTCATATTTTAAGATAATATAAACATATAATTTTGTCTTGAAGATTTACAGAAAAGGCTTGGGGTAATGCTGATACAAATCATAAAGATTTGATTTAGATGAAATGTCAAAACTTCAGCGCCAGATCGAGTTTGTATTGGAGCATTGAAATGAATGAGGCAGCAGATTTCAATTGCACCAACCTTAGAATTAATTTGGTTTTGGCAGAAGAACATGATTGTCATACCGTGTATATGAATATGTCTTATGACCTTCTCATAGACTTAAAGGCTCTTGTCATCAATAATGTCAACAATATTAGGACATTCATATGTGAATGTGTTCCCTCTGTAGAATTCTGAATGAAAATATTCGTTTCCTAAAAAATCATAACCAATAGGTATTCTAAAGAAATGAACATACTCCTTCAGATAAATTACAAAGAATACTAATTTCTCAAGATTTATTATTGTGATAGCCTTTTGATCTAGCCTTTATTGGTGTTTTTAAGACTTCGGATACGTAAGAGTTCTTCCATCACTGCACATTTCCCGTTTATTCTTGATTACGGTATACCAGCATTCCCTGGATTTTCTCATGAATAAAAGTTCATCTGAAAACTTGATGACTTTCTGATGGTTAATCATCCGTTCTTTGCAGGGCTTTATACCATCTTCACTCGTCAATGAGTGTCTAACAAACTTATCTTAGGTTATGCAATTCTGACAGTTTGGTTTTCAACAAGTCATATTTCTTGCAAAATGAAAGAATCCTTTAACGACATCTAACACGAGAACTGAATGCCAAGTGATATCAGTAAGCTTCGATGGATTTCCTCGTTAAGAAATTGACCAGTTAGCTATATAACAGATGATGTAGAATATGAAATGGAATAGACCTCACTTATTTCAATATGACACGCACTACACTACATTGAAGGAACTGTTCTACATTGAGTCAAAAAATGCTGGTTGTTGATGATTTTACAATTTTATTTGCAAATATTTTCAAAGGATTTTGATATGAATTTAATTTGTTAGACATTCAATATTATCATAAACGAAAACAAAATCTTGTTTATTCATTCTGTAATAGATTTATCAGGAATTACTATACTATAGGCAATCGTAAGGATTTTACAGGATTCGAATTATTATAATAATGTTTCCAAGTATGTCATGTAAATCAAGTAATTTACATGACACATATACGTATATATATAGTATAAAACTACGCAGCCGCGTAGTTTGTACACTAGTGTGATTCAATTTAATGCTTTCAAGTTAAATTTTTTTGAATTTGCTTCTTTAATTTGTCTAAGAATATATATATTTTACTCTCTTTAGTTTGATCCAGTGTTTTTATATTTTGATCAAAACACTTTTAACTATTTCAGTTAGCGTAGAATCTATGTTATACGAACGGCTTCAACTGACAGTAAATACATTGTAAATACACGTAGTCACGTGACCCGACTAAAAATTTCAACGACAGAAGCAACAATAACTTTTAGTTCTTGACAAAGGTCAGAGAATAAATCTATTTTCTTTTTAATTATGAGCTTGATCGAAATATAGATGTCAACACAATATAGTTTTCGCAATAAATAAAAGTCTTCCCAAATCATCATAGATTATTCCGTGCTTCCGCCTAAATTGGCAATTTCAGAATCAATGTAACCAATGTATCTTGAATTCCACTGTAAACGGTGTATATATGCAATGAGCTAGAAAATAATACATTATTTACAACAAAAACTACAGGACAATGATCGATTGTTGAAAAAATAATATACGACCACAATCTCCAGTTTTAATCAAGAAGTGCATAATCTGTAATTGTAAAGAGAAGAAGTGGTTTGAACATGAAAGGATTGAATAAGATTTATAACATCACTTTCATGTTGCATAGCGTGTTTGCCTTTGAAGGTCTCCTTGGAACTGAAAAATTAAGACTTGTTGCTTGTAATCAATAGATATTAACCTTTCAAGACGAAATTACTGAAGCGCGCACCCAAAACTTAGATGTTAGATTTCGCGTAAAAAACTACTTTATTTATGGAGAAATAACTCACGTACGCCATTTCTTATTTCAGAACAGCTAAAAAATTTTCTTTTTTTCTGTCTCTACTTAGATATTGAAAAAGTACTTGGAGGGTATCATAAGAGAACCAAACAGGCTTGCCGTGTCGTATTACCTGTCTTGTTCTGTGAGGTAAAGTATACGTGGAGATCTCTGAATTGGAAAATTAATTATCTGTCTTATTAGAGAAAACTAGATGGAAGCATGGATATAAATCTGTCCATGTCTTGACAAATTTATCCAATAAGTTCAATTTATTTGTGGAAAAGATGAATGCTTATCCTTGTTTTCAGTCCATCGAGGTAAAGTAATTTATGGCTTTCCCGAATGCTTATTTGGCTAGAAAACATTACTTCTCCAGGTTCCTTGATAGATTTAAACTTTATCCGATTTTGATCAAATACAAGTAAATTCTTACTTGCTTTTTTCTTGGTAAACGACATTTGAACATATTTTTAACCAAATTATTAATTCCCATAAAGATAAATAGCGCATATTTTCTCGATTTTCTGACCAGATACACGTATTCCATTACAATCATTTTACCCCGATTCATTACAGGCTGAACAAAACTTTAAGGATCCTTTAAATTCAAGGTAACCCCTTCACATTTTTAAATTAAAAAAAAAATTAACGGTTCTTTTCCAAACGAAAAGGTAACAACATTAAATGAATAGTTCTCCTGTATATACAAACGTGCTGCTATACTCTCAATACTCTTAATTTTCTGTTTAAATTCTGTTTGTTCAGATTTAGAACATTTAAATATTGTCAATACTTGTTGCTTAGTGTTGATTGTATTTTAATAAAGTAGGTTTACGTAAATGTGCGCCAGAGAAAAGTAATAAACACATGCTAAAATATGAAATGCAGTTGTCAAAACTTAAATAAATATCTGAAAGTTTTGACACACATTCAAAATTCGTCGAGATGGCACGCAGCAAAGAAGTGGAATACTTCATATGAAAGACGTTTGGAATTTTTATGCATTTTTAAAAATAATGTATCAAGCAAATAGAAGAAACAGCGTTTCAACAAAATCATTCTCTAGATAATTTCTTAAAAATCAACAAATGTTAAAATGATATAAACAATATTTTAAACATTTTTTTTATAAAACGTCAAAGGGGTTCCGAACTCTGCACACTATATACCAATTGTTATAACCTCCACAGTAAGGTGCACCAAAAGTCAGCATTGCGGTATATCTTATTATGAAATCACTAGTGTTTCCGTGGGTCTTAATAACTCGATGACAATGAATAATTCATATTCATCAGTTGTATGTAAATATAAATATAAATGGAAGCTCATGAACATCAGAGGGGAAATCCATTTACAAACAAGTCACTGATGGGGAAAAATCTTGGACGTCTGAAAATCATCGATATGATTGATTTTCTTGGAATATATAAACTAGCAGTCAAACTGTGAACACATTTAAACATGTATACAGTGAGATAATCCTTAGCATGCATTAACGATTTGTTAGCCATTATCTTTAACAGTGTTTAAGGTTAGATTCATGACCACATAGCCCTTACCTTGTGAGAATACATCCAGTGAGAAGCTTTCAAGGAAGAGAAGATTAGCGCCCGAGTTAGCGGCAGATCAAACAGATCCGTGCACGATGACACTTTGTATAAATAAGCAATCACCTGCAAGTGGAAAAGGAGAAAAAGCTGCACACTTTATATCACGGGATCGATCTTCGCTCCCATTTAAAAACCTGTATATCTCTGGCCCGGTCGCCATACCCACAGAAGCATATGTTTCATCTCGGAATTTGTGTAAACTATACGCGTATTGAAATGTAAACAATCCTTATTAACCGTTCACTTTGTGAATGAAATATGAAAGTCTTTAACTGTGTTTGTAGAAAGACGATATATTTTTCCTGGATCTCATACTCAATTCCCTCTACCTGTAATCTTGCATGAAGATACATGTATAACATTTTAGTATTTCCCTACATTTCTTTTTGACAATGCTTAAATTTTTCATATATCAACAAAACTGATATTTACTTAACGTGCAACTTATCAAGCCTATAATATTGATATTTTCAGGAGGGTTCAAAGATCCAAATTTAACTTCCATGGTTATCTTACTAACAAATTTGTTTTATTCTGTGTATCAAAAGGCAAGGTGACAGAGAAAAAGGATTTGAGTGAATGTCAAAGCACTGAATGGTTCTACTCTGCTTTGCACTGTATCATAATCATACAAAATATACATTGAGATTTTTCGAATGCGAGCTAATACATTCTATTTTTTCTTGGTAAAATTGATGACAAAGAATGAACGCAACAAAAATCATTTATACTTTGGACATAAGTAAATACAGAAGCCAGATATAACGTACAATACTTTGTACAAAAACAAAATAGCCTTTTGCAAAGGAATTCCATCAAACAAAGCATCTTTAACTTGAAAAATCTATGGCCTTTAGAAGTGCAGGGAATCTGCTCATAAAGACAATCCATCATTAGGATATTTGTTTCAGCTTCATTATATTTCCATCAATATCCCAACGCAAACATCAAAGGACTGAAAGTCGGTGATGTTTAATCAGGATTGTCCGTTGTGAAATTAAATGAAACAGTTACAAAATGCGACAGTATTCTTTTTTTCTATTTAATATCAATATAGACGAACAGATGCTTTATATCAATTTTGAGCTTGTAAAAAAATAAATTTACTTGCTAGCCAATCTGTTTTGACATATTCGTCCAAAGTCTGAAGCTAAATCGATCAAATTAAGTAGAAAATCTCATCAAAGTTGTCGCTTTGGTGAGTTCTATATTTTGAAATAATGTTTTGATAAAGAATTAGAAAAATGGTTCATTTTTATACTCATGTTTAATCATATACCACTTTTTAACGCGTCACTATAAATCTTTGTGAACATGACTTGAACAGCTTTTCGAAAAGATACACGTAATTGCCTAAATATTTTCTGTCGCGAATATTTAGCTGAAAAATGCATTTGTTTTAAAAACATAAAAAATTCTTTTGAAACACACTTGAATACATACATGTCGAAATGAGTTTTCATCTTGGATACTGTGTCGGATTTTGAGGGACTAGTGTTGTGGAGTGAGACTTATACTTTCCCCATAGGTCTTGCTCTATAGTTAGATTTTTCTTTGGAAGCCTGGCATTAAAGTAAAACTTTCTTATGTGGAACATCTTATTTTAACCTAATAAATATAAAATACATGACTACTGCCTTAAAATATAAGGATTTTTGGGCTAGGGCCAGTTGGAATACGTGGTAAAGGGCAAGCATCGCCCTCGATCACGTTTTCGACCCGAGTCCAAAAATGTTGTGTACATTTTTAGACTTTATCCATGTATTTTATTTATCATGAAAATATTTTTGTATCAAAATGTATTTAGCAGGATAAATTGAAAAATTAGGAATGGGGCACAAAGTGTGTATGATGTACATGTATATATATATATATATATATATATATATATATATATATATATATATATATATATATATATATATATATATATATATATATATATATATATATATATATATATATATATATATATATATATATATATATATATATATATATATATATATATATATATATATATATATATATATATATATATATATATATATATATATATATATATATATATATATATATATATATATATATATATATATATATATATATATATATATATATATATATATATATATATATATATATATATATATATATATATATATATATATATATATATATATATATATATATATATATATATATATATATATATATATATATATATATATATATATATATATATATATATATATATATATATATATATATATATATATATATATATATATATATATATATATATATATATATATATATATATATATATATATATATATATATATACACACATATTCCAAAGTGCGATGGTGACGCCAAAGTCCGATGGTCTCGCCAAACCCCGATGGGTCGCCGTCTTTTCGGAAGCCAAAGTACGATGGTCACGCCAAAGTCCGATGGCTCGTTTCCTATGAGACGCGCGACGCTAAAGTGCGATGGTCTGACACGCCAAAGTCCGATGGTGCGGAGGAACAATCGACGTTTATGACGTCACTCTAGTCCGACGTCATGACGTTATCCTGCATTCAAAATCCATTGATTTAGTATTCGTCTCGCATACATTTTTACTGATATTGCTTTTTGTGTATAAGGGTTATGTACATATTCGAGTGATAAGGGTTAATCCTTATATATATTTAAGACATTATAGGACTGATTTAGATTAGTCCAGCACCAACCTATGATATTTAGGTTAGAGTTGATATATTGATGCAAGTTTCGCTACATCCAAAAGACGAGGGTTAGTCTTTGTATTTAAGATATTTTGTATTTATTTTTTGGCACGTGGCATCGCATTTTTGCGCAGTAGTACTGTGACGTCATAAACGTTGTTTTCTGCGCCATCGGACTTTGGCGTGTCAAACCATCGGGATTTGGCGCAGACCATCGGACTTTGGCGTGACCATCGGACTTTGGAGTCCCATCGCACTTTGGAGTCCTACATATATACATATATATATATATATATATATATATATATATATATATATATTTTTTTTTTTTTTTTTTTTTTTTTTTTTTAAGACAGTGAAGCTTATATTTGCAAGGCTTAGAGCATTTACCCATGTTCAATGTTGTTGTGATTTTTAACAAGGGTGGTTAATATTCAGATTTGCGACTAGGTCGAATAAGAAGATCACAAATAGTAATCACACTTTGAAAAAATTCCATTGAAACAAAACAAATTAGGAATAGAGCAAACACAGATCTATTAAAACATTAGAAATGGGATAAGGTTCCAAAGAGAAGTAAGCATACCCGGTCGACCGACCATTACCGCCGTATGTCCCTTGTCATGATCGCGTACACGGGAAAATCCATATACAATTCACGGTTTGAAAATAATAAGCAAACAATTTGTAAGAAAATTATACAACACTCAACTCACATATAACGATAGATTGTATTTTTTACAAAATCATTGTATCCACTATAAAATTTGCATAGTGCATGTTGACTTCAAACGATACTGTTTATCTCCATACGAGTATCATAAACTCGTCAACAGCTTGTCTCGTTTTAACATTGTCTATACATAGAACATGCTCTTTCGTATCGAATCAACCCGGAGACATATTAAACGCATATGCTGACGATGATGGTAGATTTCTACATAAATTAAAAAAGTTGATGACAAAAGCTTGAGTCATCACGATTATCATTATCGAGTTCGGAGAATGAAAATGAATATTGTTAATTGGTAGGCTTTCGTCTTTATATATATTCAAATGCCGATATGAACAGTACAGCAGCAAAGGAATTTAATTTTTTTCCACAAAGAAGTTAAAAAAAAATAATTCCGCTTCATATATCGTAAATACAAAAAAGGTCTCCTATTAACGAAGCACAAGTAGTACGTATTGAAATATCAGTTACAAAAATGTTAGATGTAGAAAACATACACCCCCCTCCCAAAAAAAATATTATTAGTCAATCACAAACACAAAACTTCCCTTTTATGTCATCTTTGTGTTACTTGTGTGTGTGTACAATTAGTTCTTTGTTTACTACAAAAGAAATTGTCAAGTGTGATGTCATAAAATCTATACTTTATGGCGGGAAATATTTGTATTGAGAACTGAAAAGACTTACAATGTACGCTCTGATACCATTAATATGGTAATAATTTTGATAAAGTTTTAATGTTTCCTGTTTTTTTTTTAGTCCTTGATCCGCGACTTTGTAGAATCTAGCTAATTTGAGTTACGGGTCACAAAGACGGTCAAGGTGCTCTAACTGCAGAACCTAACCCTGAAAACTACACGCTTGTTGCAAAACCTACAGAATAAAGAGTACATGAATTTGATTTGAACTTTCATAAGCAAATAGCACTTACGGTTTTGCTGAGCAAGCTAATTGTTCAATAAAGTAAACGAGCAGATTCAATCAAAATTCATCAATATTTACATTTAATATGAATTTCGTTATGAAATTCATTGAAAATCTTCAACACTGAACTTTATATGAACACAAAAATTGTCTCTTCATGAAAGAATAAAAAATAGGAACTGCATATATATTGTCAATGCAATAGGAACACCATATATTACATACATATTGCAATGTATTGTTTTAGCAAAATTTATTTATAAAAACTGGGATGTCTTGTTGAAGTAAAATCAGGATTTGTCACCCTTTTCGTGCACAGGGGGTCAAAAACGATGCTTTCCTACAAAATTCCTGCTCCTTAAACTTTTAGTACATTTTTGCAGTAATCAATTCTTATGGAATTTGATTTGTAGTATCCTTCAGATGTGATATATGGTTTTAGAATTTAGATTTTGCACGATCGAGCCCAAACGGGGGTTAAAAATTCTGTTCACTGAACTTCTCTTACATTTGTAGTTTGTGTAGTCTGGTCATATATTATCTTGAATAAGTCTGGGTGTCTCGATCTTGTTTTGTGCATTAAGGTTTCCAAATTTTTGATTTTCACAAATGGAAGCCAATGGTGGTTTGAAGCTGGCTTTTTCTATAAATTATAGAATGATTATGGCTTCTTCCTTTGTAACCAAATATGAAGGTGAAAACATTTAGAAGGAAATACTTTCGCGCGGTATTGTTGTTTCAAAACAGCATCTAGTTACCTCTGGTTCAATTTAAAAAAAAAATAGCATGTACTACAATCATGTGTAATATCTTTGTGAGATACAAATGAAGCTGATCACAATAAAAGCATTTTCACAATGTTCACAATTGTATTATGCTATCATGACCAATCTGACCTGGGAATTCAGACAATTTGAGGAGACACTCGTTATACAATTTAAACATTTCAACAAAGGACACGACCTAAAAAAGCACCAACAGTTTGGGGTTCTGTTTACCTTTCACAAAGTAAGGTCAATTAATCAATATGTTTGAATTCTCTCTAGTATGCAAAATCAGGTGGTGTTTGTTGTCAATTTAATTGAAAAAATAAGTGGTATTTCTAGAACAAGTATTTTTTATCACTTAACGTGTTAGTATTTTCCATAAGGGAAACTTTGTTCATTAAAATTAACGCCAGTATCATACATGAGATTAAAGCAGATCTACTGTACTTGAATCCGAAATTTTTAAAAAAAAAAAAGGAAATGCAAGTGAACTCGCCGTCCATACAGGAATTTTAAACACTTTAACGAATACGAGCACTAGTAATTATTTTTTATGACCAGCTTTAAGCCAGTATTGATTTTAAAAATTATTTTTCTACCATTGGCTTTGCAGTTCACTATAACTTATTTCCGGTACAGCTGTCAAATAGAACATTTTTGCCGCTTTTGTATCTGTCTTAAAAGTAAGCTCAAAAAGGAAAGAAAAATATTGCAGTGCTAAAGCGACAAAAATATTAAGCCTGATTATTTGCCTAAAATGGAAGGTCTTTTATTATTACAGAGGGAAGCTGTCTTGATGATTCAGCACCTGATGCCTCGTGTTTTTCACGATAATATCCCAGTTTATATTTTATGCAGTATTTGCCTACTTTTACATCAGTTGTCCCTCTGGACGAAGGTTATGATCAAAGGGCATAAGAAATAAAGACTGTTATTAAATGATAATGGATTTTATAACCCCAAAGACGTCGATTTCCACTATTGTCTGTGCTTATATCTCCCCCGGTAGCCATCTCCAAATGTAAGAGAGAAAGTGGAGTCTTCAGCTTAATGATGTCTCTACTTGTAACCTAGGCAATAAGCAATTATAAGATATTTAGAGCCCGCATCGAGGAAGCCATTAGCATCGTTACCTATCCTCAAATTGGACACTGGGTGGCAGTTTTACATACATTTATTTTAAGAAAGCTACTGTCCGTAATTAGATTCTCTTTGGGACAATAAAAACGTTGAAGTGATTTCTTGAAATGTAAAAATCTCTTAATTCCATAATAGTGATTGTATATTTATTTACATTTAAGGCTATATTTTTTTCTTTTTGTTTTGGATATGATTTTCATCCTAAGTGGCACTGGTTTATGCTTCATTTACCCTCTTCATTTTGCCAAAACACAAAATATTGTTAATCTTTACTGCAAAATTTTATTTTA